TTTATGGATAATGGGGTGTAATCGGATGCGACGAGGAGCATCAGACAAGAGAGCAGCCGAAGCGTGCGAGCTGTCATGCAGCGGCTTAAGTAGCTTTCCCGCCGCTGGTCCTCTGCAGTTTGCTAGTTTGGGTATTGGGTGGAAATTGGTTACCAATGGAGATACGTTAGAGGGGCTTTTGAATGCTGGATTTACCAAACGCAATTGCGATGATTGTATACGAACAAGCGAGGAGGAGAAAAGGAAATCGGAAAAGTACCTATATATCGCACGAGGGTCGCGCTTGTCCGTTGTTATACCAGCGCGGGCATCGAAATCTCTCCCCTCGCGTATATATACAATACTTACACGGTCGCGAATCCCGCGCAAGTTTCCACGCAGCACTGCACCAGTCGCTTCTGACGCGTATAGCGTCTGGGGTGTATACAAATACAACAAGTACTCGAGTCATCGGTTTATCTCTGGTGAATTCCGATGATAAGCTGTATATACTTGGTTTTTCTTCGGTGAGTACACTTGTTGGATTAACAGTGTACTTTTGTGGACGGGGACTCTCTGAGGAAATGATAGTACATAATTACCATGTTACGAAATAACAAAAGGCATATAGAATGGGGGTGGGGGAGCGTCATGGGCATCGTCCTTGGAAGAGAAAAGCCTATACCAGTAGGTAAGAAGAAAACTATCTCCCCCAGGACTGTTTTTTATTTCCTTCCACCCCCACGGCGTCACACCCCCTCCTCCGCCGCGTTTCACCATGTAATACACGAGTAGCACGGGCGTGTGTGCGTATGTATAATACACACATGTACGTATAGGTACGGCACGTGATGTGCCAACTGCTGACTGATATGTATAAGACCGCTTTTCCGTGGACATAAATGCGCCACGGTGAGATTACTGTGTATACATATATATATATACGGCATTACAGTTTATGTGATGTATAACACGGCAGGCGGTGGACGCGCGTGCATCGATCGATTCCACGAGTCGAATCCAATTGACTCCACGAAATGCGTGCAATTACCCTCGCGTGCACCACATGTATATATATGCTATATGTTATCCACCTACGCATATTTATATTGCATGCGTGCAGCTATTAGTGATGGCTTTTTTCCTTGTTTCAATTGATGTTGCGCGGGGGCTGTACTTCCAACGGAACGTTTATCGAAGGACGTTTGGATTAAAACGTATATACGCGTACATCGGTGCCTTCGGTTAGCTCGGGAAGGTAGATCGCGCACCAACAAAGAACAAAAAAAAAAAAAAAAACAAAAAAAACAATTTGCAATTCAGAAAAAGAAGGGATTTGATCGACAGAGATGAAAAAAAAAAAAAAAAAAAACGACAACTTCGTGTGTACACATATCGGTTGATCGAGGCTCGGGCAGTACAAGTGAATATTCCGGCCACATCAGAGTGTATACGCGCGATGACGAAAGAAAAAAATAAAATAAATTCAACTTACCCTCTTGGAGCTGTGCACGACAGAGAAAACATCACTGGACACTGGCCCGATGCAGTCGAAACAAAACAAAGAGAGCGACGCAATTGGTCGAGTAATCTTAAAAACTGCAGAATTCGCAGGGGAGAGAACAACTTCAACCGCCGAAGCGCGCCCGCAACTTCGCGCGCGCAAATTCGAACTTTCAAACGGCCGTCACGCCACTGATATACCATCACTGGCAACTTCAACGCTATCATATACCTATACACCTACAAGTATTTGGTGGCGGGGAGCGCACTCGCGACAAGCGCCAATGGACGAAAAAAAACGTAATCAAGCATACAAGCAACGAACGCGCGAATCATCGTCATCAATCTACATATAAATACACTTAGATTGCAGTGTAAGTGCAGAGAGTACGTGCAATATGCAAAAGTACCTACTAACTAGCAGTGCGAGTATAGCGACACGACTGATCGAGAGTGAAAGTGTGTACGGAGCAGAGGGAGAGAAAAAGGTATATACACTTACAACAGTTGTTGGGGGTTGCGCTCTTTCTCTCGGCTCAACTCTCGCAGCAGCCCCCGCCAAAATGTGTGTTTGTGTATTACGCACGTATATACATGTATACGTCCAATATGTAACGAACGAATGAGCGCGGAAAGAGGAGAGGCAAAATTCTCCCCTTTTATATTCGACCCCCACCAACCACCAACCCCGGGTTTACGCGTGTGTGTGTCTGCACTGCTCTCTCTCTCTCTCTGTTGCATTTTATGTGTATAGTGGCGGCAATTCTTCCCCCTCAACCCCCACTCTCTGCTACAATTATATATATNAAAAAAAAAAAAAAAAAAAAAAAAAAAAAAAAAAAAAAAAAAAAAAAAAAAAAACATAAATGAAACACGAAGGTGTTACAATTGTTACGCAATATGCTGGAAGTGATGGAACATCAAAAACCCCTTACCTGCAAATGCTGCGACTCCACAAGTTTTTATTTTTAATTTTTCATATGTCGTGCCTCACCTTACCCGTGAACACACAGACAACAAAGTATCACAATCTCTGGCCCCTTGCAAAGCGTACACCCCGAAAATCATATGAGTTGAAATGAATTATTCAAAAAAATAAACACCAAAAAGGATGAATTAAAGAAGGAAAAAAAAAAAAAAGAAAAAAAACTTTGTCACGTTAACAGAAGAAAGGCCAAAGGCGACGAATCTGCAGCGGAGGCCGAGCAGCAGTTGGCGCAAGGAGCGCAGGCGAGACCCGATCCAAAGCGAGGCCCTCGACATGTCGGCAGCGGCAAGGGCGGCGGTGCACTGCGGCCAACCGTCCAACGGTAGCCACCACCACCACAGTCGGCCCAGCGTCATCGTACCCACGATCGCTACCCCCCATCAGCATCACGGGCTCCACTCGCCCGAGAACGCTGCCGAACTCCTCGCCGGTTAGTCACTTTGCTTTTTTTTTTTTTCTTTTTTCTAATTTATGATTACGTAGCACTTTGATATTATTTAAATTTGAATCAGTTGAAATGTTCACTATCTGCCAAGTGAACGTGATTACGGTATTTATCTGGACGCAACCACTATATAAGAGATCTTGATCCGATCGAAGAGAATATTGTACATCCTATAAACATTACATTATTGGTCCCACCAACCATTAATTAGCCAACTATTAAAATTAGTAAAACTTTGCAGTAAATATTAACTACATGTTTATAGAGTAAAAATCCACGATGATTTCTGCAACTTATAAGCATACAATCACAATAGTTACCATTTATTCAGTGTACACGTATCATTTAAATAAATTGTATATTTATACGACCACTCCAAATTAAGAGTGGTATATATTGAAAAAACAAAAAAAAGAAAGAGTCGCTCAAATCGATGATTTTTCAACAAATGTATAGGAGCAACGACGGAGGACACGGCCGTGACGCCGACGGCGAGCGTGACGCCCTCGGCAGCGACGCGGGGCCAGCGCACGGGCATGAGAACGGCCGGGGTTGCGAGCGATCCCGCGATAGACGAGCACTTCAAGCGCTCCCTCGGTCTCAAGGACTACGCGGCGGTGTTCAACGCCGCCACCAGCGACAAGGAGACCGGCCTCAGCGGTGAGTCCATCAAAGTTGAATAAAGCACGCTTGGGCACAATTAATTCAGGGTTTTTTTTTTTCATCAACTCTTTTATCATTCAAATTTCTTTTTTCTCATACTTATTATTTGTTTCAAATTTTAACTATACATTGTTTTTGTTGGGTAAAAATTAAATTTTGTCCAGTACCGTGTTACAAGTATAGTAATTAAAAAAAAAAAAAGAAAACATTTTTTATACCGTAAATCATGTACAGTGGAATTAAGGGAAAAAATTAATATTGAAAAAGCATAAGTGTCCAAGTCTGAGTGCGGTTTGATTAAAGCGTGTACAAAGGTATACTCACTTTGGTGGTACTTTTAGTTGACGACCACTTCGCAAAGGCTCTGGGCGAGACGTGGACGAGGCTGCAGGCGACCACCCGTAGCAAGGACTCCACATAATTTGGCTCGGCCGCTGGTAGCCGCCGGTGCGTGTTTATTACCTCCTCGCTTGTCGATAGTTCTTGTTGATGACGCCCCTCGCCTTCGCTGATGGTACATGGACGAATGGGGCTGACCAAGGGAAGAAGAGACTCGTTTACGAGAGCAAAGGTGCTTCCTATGTAGACGCAGGACGCGAAGAAAAAGTGGAGAGGGTTCGTCGGGAGAGGCCCGCAACGCTTGTTCTGTACATATAGATGTATGTTTTTTTTTTCCTTTTTTTTTTTTTAATGCACCATTGTTGCAGCGTGTAAGGGAAAAAGAAGAAAAAGCGACGGTGACGTTGTCGCGTACATCTCGTTTTATTTATTACTCAAGCGTCAAGAACAATTAATTATATTGTCGATATTGATGATTATTACTAAATACCAATTAATTTTGCTCGGCAATAATACATACATATTTATATAAATTCGATTTTTAAACATACGTGGTATAAATGTTGTATATTACATGAAATATGTTGTAATTTTTTCATTTCTCTCATTAACTCGCTCCGTACCTATATTTTTATATCCTGCTCATTGTTTGTAATCGTTTTATGGATTCCTCGCAAATCGCAATAATATTATACATCATGTAGTATCATGTAGACACGCGTAATAATAATAATAATAATTAGTAATAACGTAAGACGCTTATAGATGATCGTTACTTGAAAAAGCAAGTATATAAATATATAGCAAAGGGCAACATTATCGGAGACGATAGGGATAAGTTTATAATATATACATACTGTACGTACAGAATTGTAACTTGTAATTAGTCGGTATATAAATGTTTAGATGAATGTATTAAAAATTAAATAATAATAATAATGATGATGATTATTGTTATCAGACGTCGAGCAGTGATGAGGAATCACTATGCATATAATACATGTATCATATGAATCGCTGTCCATTTTGAGGGCAGAAAATAAAAAAAAAAACGAACGTTCCTGTATCAATTAATCACTAGTTTCATTACATCACACCACCATCCAATACACATTGTATCTTTATGCATTGCGTAAAATTATGGTTATTGTACCAGTAAACGGCGAACTTTTAAGAAGAGCAGTACTGATTTCAAATGGTGCTAGGCTTTTCGAAAAGGACATCCCAGCACGCACAGAAGCCAGTACCTCTGCTATCTTAATGTCTTCTTTGGCGAAACTTCCATGTTCCATTACAAACGTAAGTACTCAGGCACTATATTCTTCTTACTTGGGCGTGTTTCAAAGTGTATACCCGATAGGTAAGTACATAATATAACATGAGCCGATCGGCCTTGGTTGTCGCGTTATACTTACATTGCGCACCTGTTACAGTACCACCTCAGTGGTATATTATATATACAACTGGAGGAACCCGACTGCACCGATATCGGTTTTCACGCGATCGCGCGTGGGGGAGGGAAGGGAGGTATAGGTGTATTTTTCTCGGTTAGGTGTCCCACGCACTTGTTACTTACTTGCTGGCGGCCGGTTAGTCGTTGCAGCCGGTTGGCAGTCCTCCCGCGATATACCTTTACCTCGATCGGCACCTGTCGTCCCGTTTTTTTTTTTTTTTTCCTTTTTTTTCTTCTTTTTTACGTAACAAATATGCTTTTACCCGCAAAATGTATCGGGTTATTTGAAGAATTTTCACGCGTCTCTCAGTCAAAGTAACGAGGTTTCGGGTAACGTGTTTTTACTTTTAATTGGAAGAAAAAAGAAGAAGAAGAAGAATTTATATATGCTACTACCCCCAAGGAGCGGTTAATAACTCGCCCACGACTCCGTTGGCCAGCTGTCTCCCTACCGATGCACGAGCATGATGGAAAAAAAAGGAAAAGTATACAAAAGAAGGGCCAACAAAATATTCGCCCGGTTGTATCGTATGTACTCCATGCGCTTCACTCACCGGGCGAAAAAAAAAGTATACCTGCAGCATCGCAAAGTAAGATGAAAAAAAAAGAAAAATCCTTCCCCTGGAGATCGGGGGGCTGCAAATTCGCGGAGGGTCCTCCGATGACGCGAGCAAAAGGAGGGCCCCGAAAAATACAAAAAAAAAAACTACTTATGAGCGAATAGCGTGCTGTCGGACAGACAGCGGTAGCATCGGCAGCTACGACGACGACGAGGACGTTGAGGATACTGTCCCAGCGGTCGGCGGGATGGCTTCCTATATGCAGGCGGTCTGTTCACTTGGCGTAAAGCAAGCAAAAGGTGGTAACTTAATATCGGAGACTCGAAGGTACGTATATATATATATATATATAGAGAGAGAGAGAGAGAGAGAGGAAGGTGCCGGAGGTAAGAGGAGGGTGGGATATGCAGGACAGAGAGAGAGAGGAGGAGGTAATCCCACACCCATGGAGTAAGCCTACACCCGGGTTGTCCGTGTGCGCACGTAATATCCGTATAGATGGGCTCTGCACCCCCCATATATATATATACACACGAGCCAAGTACTTGTATACCTACGTGCCTCTTCTCCGCGACGTCGCCAGGGCCTCTCTCGCACACGCGTAACCCCCCTCCCCCTCCCATCTCCTTGCTGCTCCCCTTTTTTGTTTGCAGCACCCCGGACGTCTCTCTCTAGATTCTTTTTTTTTTTTTTTCCTTTT